TTTTTTTTTTTTTTTTTTTTTTGGCAGGATATAGAGGTACAGGAGGTTATTTTTAGAGCAGATGATAATATGCTCCCAATGAAATCTTATTAAGCATCTTTGTAAAATACAATGCTAATGCAATAGGTAACAGGCACCCCGGTGTCAAAGTTGTGTTTTTTACAGCTAAAATCTAATTTGAGTTAAAGGATTTTATTTCTATTTTTGAGATTTTAGCAGAAGCTGTGATTTAGAAGAACATCATGTTGTTCAGTGTTCTTGCATAGACTTCCTAGGATAGATGTTGAATTTAAACTGTAGGGCATTATATCAACTGGAATTTTATGAAAATAAAACTGGTGGAGCAAGTCATGTGTTAAATAATCTGATCACATAGATTTGTTCTGCAGGCTTCTTAAACATTTGTTTTTTCTAATTGACTTGAGCATTTAAGCACTTGTATTTTGGCATCAGTAGCATAGATACTGTTCTTTTTGATGTACAGTAAGAGCTTTAGGAGGGGAGAATTGAACCTAATAGCAGATATTTTTGCCTTCCTATTTCCCAGTTAAAAACGGAAAAATAGCTGAAGTCAATGTTTGCAAACTGCTAAAGCAGTTTAGACCTATATACTGTGGTTTAAAAAAGTGACTTGATCACCTGGACATCCTAATATCTAAGTAGTTTTTGAAAATTTTGTCCAGGATGTTGCAATCGTCTGAACATTCTGTCACAGATCTTGTTCATTAAGTATTCTGTAGAGTGTCATAGAAAGTGCCAGTTGTTGAGGAGTTTCCTGCTGTGTGCACCTTTTCTTAAAGTTTCAATGAAACGAAAATCGTATAACACATTTGTCTCATAATGGTATGATCCTCTGATCTTTTTATTGTCTTTAATAGCAAAACTTCCTTGTGTATCAGATCTGAATCTCTATACAGAGAGAAATTCTTAGCTAAGCAAATGGAAGAAGATAACCCAGGAGAGAGAAATGGATTTGGTGTGAGGAGATGCTCTTCCCAGTACCTAAGGTGTTTGGCCCTAGTGTCTAATGTCCGTATAATGCCCTCAAAGATTTTGATGTACTTAGTTTATTTTAAATATATAATATACTGAAGACTGACATGTCCTATGATATCTTCACGCTTTCCCTTATAATACTACCTTTCTCTGATATTTATATAATAGCTAAGATATGTCCTATTCCATCTTAGGTATGCTTAATTGTTACATTTTTATTATTTGGGTGCTTTAATGAAAAGGGATCTACTGAAACATAGATGTTAGTTTCTGTAATTTCAATGAGAAGAAATGGTGTGATCGACACTGAGTAGGAATACTAATTGCCAGTATTAACAAACATAGGAATTAAAGGACTCCCTGCTAGACTGGGAGCAGTGTCCTACTTCTACAAGCAACCTAACTGATACAACCCTCAAAATGCACCTTTTTTCTTTTACCCCTCAGATTAGAATACACAGTATCCATTCCCTCATCACGTAATTTCTTTTCTGCGTTTTCTAGTTGGAATTTATGAAATAGCGTATTTGTGCATGTGGGAGACTAAGGATGCATACAGCATTCGCTTTGTATTAATGCAATTTTACTCCAAATCTCTTTTGTAATACTTCCTTTATTTTCTTCAAGGTACAGAAACAAAATTTTTGAAGTTCTGTAGTTTGGTAGTTCTCAGCTTCTGCTGCAAAACTTCAGTTTCATAATATGATCATAATTCCACTTAAATTCTAAAGTAGACTGACACTGGGAGAGGGGTGGGATGGATTGTTCTACTTAGCAAACCCAGAATTCAGCCCTTTCTTTTGTTTTAGCTTTTAATTTCTGCAGCTACTCCTTTCTCTTTCTTAGTTGCATATTTGAACCTGAGGGAAATGCGTGCAGCCTGACAGATAGCACTGCTGAAGAACATGTCCTGGCACTAGTGGAACATGCAGCAGATGAAGCTCGGGATAGGATCAATCGCTACCTACCCAACAGCAAGGTCTACTGCACAACAAAGCTCACAGTTCCATTTTGTGTCTGATTATTGAATGCTTTGTTTCATCTTTGAAAACAGGCTTTAGTATTATATTTTCTGAGATTGTAACATCTAGGATGTGTGCTCTGTGAGGAATACCAGTATGACGATTGTCTATCATTTGGCTCCCACTGAAGACCCATTTTAGGGTGTCCTAAAAGGATTTTGAGTTGTATGTGGTGTGTTGAACGTCTTTAGACATTCTCTTGCAGAAAACAGTGAAATGTTGGTCAGTCTTGAATCAGGCTTCCTTAATTGCAACCCTTTGCATCAAAAGTGATTAAAATAGCGTCATACTCTTCTTATTGCTGCAACCTCAGAAAAAGCAAACTTTGACATAGTTTGAAGGTTTATCAGGATTTCCCCAGACACCCTAGGAAATTCAGGAATTTTAAGCGTTGAATTACAGTTTTCAATGAGAAGTCCAGAACCTCTTGTAGTTTCATATAGCTATAGTCAGCTATAGCACGTTCTTGTGTGAGTACAAATTATAGACATCCTTCAGTGACAAGGAGAATATACCAATAGTTTGTCCATGTTGGAGTTTTGGACAGTGCTAACCACAGTTTCATCATCTTGAATGTGATTCTGTTAATGTTCCGTGTTTGATTGTGTGCTGTTCCAAGAGTTAGAAGGAAAAGCTCAGTAATACTGTTAGTGCAGTTTTCTCAGCACATTCTGTTTATGGGCTGTTTTTCTTAGCTATGTGATAATAGTGGATTCCTTCACTGCTTCATGCTAGGGTTAGAGTGAATGCTACAGGCACATTTGCTACAGGCACATTTGCTACAGGCCTATGCTGAGATATGTTTACTCTGTTTACCTTGCATTGTGTGGAGTCTTTATTAACACCTTTGTCCTCATTTCTCATTCTGTCACATACTCCAGTGACCACTGCAGTCAAAAAAATAATCAGGATGTTGCTACATCCTGCATTTTCCAACTACTTTTTTAACAACTGTTGCAGAAGAAATATTTGCCTTTAAGCATTAGTGGTAACAGTTGTCTTCAAACTTAAATGTCTATTTCTTGGACAATGGCCCTTATTATGCCGTCACTTTAGGCTCAACTGGATTAGGAAGTAAAACCTCAACAGCAGGAGAAGGTTTAGTTTCTTCAGTATACTTCTGTTTCTTTGGATAATTAGAAGACTTGCTAGGATTGAAGGCAATTTCAAACCTCCAAAGTAAGAATGGCTTTTTAAAAACCTTTTAAAGCAATACTAATCTCCTGCTAATTGCTAACTTTACTGAAAAGGTCTTTCATGATGATGCTGTCGGTTAGTCAGTTTTGCAGTGTTCAAGAATTATTCTGAGTGTGCAGCTCTTGTTTAGGCTGTCAATCAGCTAGACAACCCATTGCAGATGCCACTGAATCTAGGTAACACTGATATGTTCTTAGAATTCAGCCATTGTGAACTTTTGCCATCACTTGAAGGTATTGTGCTTGTTTATTCTCTTTCCAGCATTTATTACCTCTGTTTTTATTACATGCCAACATCAGTTTTAGTCTTAAGTTAGTCAGTTTCTGACATCAGCTTAGCTTGTTGCATCAGTTCTGTCTCTATCTTTACAGACCTCAGTGTGTTCTGTTGTTTTTCACATCTCTTTTTGTCTTTTTAGCATTGTTTGTGTGTGCTCTGATAGGTTTGTCTCCTCTAAGAATTTGATAAATTCATAAAAATACTTCTAATTACATAAAGTTGTGGCTGAGATATGAAAACAAGCAGTTTGGTCTAGATAGGAAAATAAACAGTGAGGTAGATTGTGGACAGGATTTACAGATCTGCTTCTAAAAAGAAAGCGTGTTCTAGGCTTGGCAGTCGGAAAGTCTGGCTCTGTACTAATTCTAATGGAATTGATTTTGTCTTGGATGCAAACTTTAGATCTGATTAACGAAAATGAATAAGGAGTTATATATATGACGTACAGACTTTTACTCCTAAGTCTTCTGTTCTGAAGCATTTGCCAGGCAGTGATAAGTAGTTTAATTTCTGTATTAAAAAGAGTACTAGACTGCAGGACCTGAATATGGCTAAAAATGCATTTTGTAGTTTTCTGTTTAAGTAAACAACTCCTTCTTTGGGCTTGGACTGTGTTAAATGATTGCTTCTGTATCTTTGTGGTTCTATTTACAGATTGGTTATCTAAAAAAAAATGGAGATGGAACTTTATTATTTAACGTAGTAAATTCATCTGATCCAGAAGCAGAAGGTAAACGCTATATTTTTTCAAGCAAACATTTCTAATGTTTAATGTTCTAGCAGATTTTGAAGTTTTAACTGTACACACAAATTCTGTGTAGCATAGATGAGTTTTAAAAAAAACAGCCAAACAAACAAAACCCAACAAACTCCCAAAACCATTTTCCACAACAGCTATATTTAGTATCTCCAGTATAAGGTGTTTCTCTGCCTTTCACATTTTCACTCCTCAGATGCTCTGTTTTACTCATGCTAACAGTAAGGAGGTAAAATAATACCTATTTATAAGCAGTTATACATTGCTACAACTTCATTGAGAACTTGAAAGACAGGCTTTTGCTCCATCTACCTGGTATTGTTAAAATCTGATAGACAAAAGATGAATGGAAGTTCTATAATCCTATGTAAATGTGCAGTTCACAGATGCAAATTCAGAATCATCCTTTACTTATTTCATAATTTAAATTATTAGCTAAATTTTCAAGTTAATTATGCTTTGCTCAATTGTTCTTCTTTAGTTCCCTGACCTTTTCTGTGGCTTTTTGTTTGTGTTACTACTATACATAATTTATACTCTTAGGCTTTTCTCAAAATGCAGAAATTTTAAAGTTTAGTGAATGAAACGTCATAGTCTTTATGCTGCTGTGTCATGTTGATTTAGCACCTCCTTCTCTGCACCTTTTGAGATCGGAATTCATTCACAGCTCACCTATTGTTGCACTGATGAATCCTTTTGACTAGTCACATACTTACTGATTTTTTTGACTGGAAGATACAAGCCTGTAACTCTGTCTACATTCCTTTTCATTCAGTACTAAATTTTTCTGGAATGGAAGTGGACATTTGGCTGCCATCATGCCTTTACCTATTTCTAAATAAAATAAATATTAAAATGAAAGTGATTTAATACCTCTGAAATCATGCCACTGAAAAGTTAGACAGTGATGGTAAAGGGAACAGAGCAAGCTTTCACTGTGTGCTGTAAAGAACCATACTGCTAACTTGATCTTTCTGTGCTCCAGAATATTTTTAGATTTTATAGTTAATACTAGTTACACTGAATTTACAGCTAGTAGTTTAATCTGATTTTCTTTTTCTTTAATTTTTAAATCCTAGTAAAATTCTAGTGCTAAACTTGCTTTCTGTTTTTCAGTAATTGACCATAACTACCACTGGATTCCATAACAGCCAGTGAGATTTAAAATTACTGGAAGTGTCCTAAATGATACTGGGATTTTTTTGAGTTTAAAAGCATGTTCCAAATTATTCGAGCCATTTTAAGTAAGCAGTTCTCAAAGCTTCAGAAGCAAGAAATATTGCTATAGCCATAATGGTAATTATCTTAACAAGGTTCTCTGTGTGGTGTCTGGGTTTCTATCTATAGACAAACTACCACTTAGTCAACATAAGAAATTGATTGTATCACTTCATAACATGTGGATCTTGAATGTTTGTGAATCAACAAGTAGAAGAATTTCAGATGCTGCTGTATACTTTGAAAGTGAAATAACCAAATAAGTCATCAATCTTGTGAATAAAAGATTGAACAATACTTACAGATGTATTTGAAACTTAAATAGAGAACTTGAATTACACTACCTATCCTTAATGTACAGGTTAAAAGACATTAGGGCTTTATGATAACAACAGCTTTTTGACATAGCAAAATCTCAATTTTAACTATAAATTTTATACATTAAATGCTTTTCTAAAAATAATCATCATCTTGTAAATCAAATTATTAGAGGAAGAGACTCACCCAGTGGATCTGAGTTCACTGTCAAGCAAATTATTACCTGGCTTCACTACGCTGGGATTTAAAGATGAACGAAGAAATAAAGGTAAATGCCAAAGAACATGTTTGAACTTTGTGTTAATTAAATGTTTGCATTATTTCTTGATATAAAACAATTTCAGATTATGCCTGTCTCCAAGTGAAAGTTCACTTGGTTATTTGTATAATATATAATTATTCCATTTACAGCAGAATGCAGTTTTAATTAAATTGTCTTTTTTGCTTATGAAACGTAACTTAATTAGGAGTTTATGGATTAATGTTTTGTCTTTGTGTTGTAGCCACAATAAAAGCTTTTCAGTAATGGTACTCCATTTTCTCTGGAGGAAATAATTTTTTCTGAACAACTGTGCTTAGATTTGAGATTAAAAAATCCCCTTTTAGTCATTTGCATTTTTGTATAATATGACAAGTATAATATTTGTATAATATGACAAGTATAATATTTCACTGATGGTATTATTGAGATTTTTAATGTTTTCTCATGCTTTCCAGAAACTGACTGGCAAGCAACAGTGAAGTAGACACATGCAAACAGTAGAAATACAAAGCGGGTGGGAAGATGAATGATTTTTGTGGGAGTGGGGTGGTTGGCTTAGTTCTTTATTTTCCAGTAGTATAAGTACATTTATTTATGTGGTTAAAATAGTCATGCTGATTCTAGAGTCTGGAAGTGTCCTTGTGATACTGCTCTTGATGTCAGTTGGAGGGAAAATGCACTGTGCTTTCTGTTTCAGAAAACAAAATATTCCTCCCCTGTGATTTTTGACACTTGTAACAATCATTTGCCATCTGTTTCTTCTACCTGTCTAGTAACCTTTCTTACAAGTGCTAGTACAGCACCTTCCATGCAAAACAACTCTATATTTCATGATTTGAAATCAGATGAAATGGAGCTCCTGTATTCAGCATATGGTGATGAAACAGGGATACAGTGTGCCTTAAGGTAAGTGCTTCCTTATATGATGCCTAAGTTCTCATAGAAGTTCTGTGAAAAGCATTTGGGCATAAATCTTAACTACGAACCTCCAAATGCCGATTTTTTTTTTTCTTTTTTTTCCTTTGTGTTCTGCTGAAACTTACTTTAAAAATAACTCACTGTAAAACATGAGGCTTTCCTGTTGGTGAGGTTTGGTTTGGGTTTGGGGTTTGTTTGATGTTATTTGTTGTTCGGGAGGAGGGGGTTGTCTTTTGTTTTTTATTGGTGGCTTGAGGTTCTGGGGGTTTTTTTTTCATTTGTGTATTTTTTTTGGGAGTGATTGGTTTTTTTTTCCATTTGCAAGGCTGTTAGGGATCTTGTTATTAGGATTTTTGACTGAAAGATATTATAGATACTAAAAATACAGTGTTTTGCTTTAAACCCAGCAGTAAGTAGGTTTAGATATGCAAGTAATAGATTTCAGTGACTTTAAAACAGTGATAATTTCAAGGCATTTCAAAACAGTTAAAGCTACTTGAAAAGGAAAATGTCACTTTTCATTAAGTTGTTGCTGTGGTTTAAGCCCAGCCGGCAAATCAGGACCACGCAGCCACTCGCTCACTCCCCCCTTGTCTTTCTCGCCACACTCCCGGAGGGATGGGTAAGGGGCATTGAAGGAATGTAACTCCCATGGGTTGAGATAAGAACAGTCCAGTAACTAAGGTATAATACGAAACTACTACTGCTACCACCAGTAATAATAATGATAAGGGAAATAACAAGGGGAGACAATACAATTGCTCACCATCCGCCGGCCAATACCCAGCCCAACCCGAGCAGTGATCTGGGCCTTCTGGGTAACTCCCCCCAGTTTATATACTGGGCATGACGTGCTGGGGTATGTAATACCCCTTTGGCCAGTTTGGGTCAGGTGTCCTGTCTCTGCTTCCTCCTGGCTTCCCCTCCTCCCTGGCAGAGCATGGGACTGAGAAAGTCCTTGGTCAGAGTAACATTACTGAGCAACAACTAAAAACATCAGTGTTACCAGCACTGTTCCCAGACTAAAGTCAAAAACAAGGCACTGCACCAAATGACAAAAAGTGACTGCTGTAGCTGTACCCAGGACAATCGTTCATCTTAAAGGGAAAGAATTAATCACAAGCTTTTTTGTTTCCTTTGTGGGGTTTTTTGTTTGGTTGTTTTTTGTTTGGTTGGTTTTTTTTTTTTAATTAAACCACTGCCAGTGGTAGTTCCAAGTGAAAACTTGTTTGTAGTTGTGAAAACCAAGTTTGCATGTATGTTTTCTTCCATTAAAAAAAAATGGGGGCGGGGGAGGAAAAAAGTTGCTTAATTGCTTTACTAAAAAAAAAAAAAAAGGCAGAAGGACAAAGAAAATGTAGGAGCATAGTTTGGGAAATCCATGTTGTAAGAAGTTTAATTTTTTTTTTTTTTTTTTTTTTTTTTAATGCTAGTAAACATGTTCTGTAATGCTTATCTTCATTCCTACCAGCTTACAAGAATTTGTGAAGGATGCTGGAAATTACAGCAAGAAAATAGTAGATGATCTTCTGGACCAGATCACTAGTGGAGATCATTCCAAAACTATTTATCAGCTAAAGCAGGTGTGTCTTTGATGCAGAGAAATGTCACAAGTCATCAAAACAAGAATACTTCTGGATTTTAATACTGTATGAGATCCTTTGTTCTCTACTGTCAGTTTGAACATTGCAGGCTTAGCTGTTCGTCTGTTGTGAACCAAATTAGGAAACAAATTAATCAGCAGAGAAGTAATCTTTTTCTTTAGCTAGATCATTTCTCCAATGTGGTTCACTCTGTGACTGCAGAAAAGGGAGGCATTGCAGCATAGCAGGGGGAAGAAAGGGCCTACCAACTAAAGGCTGTTTGGGCGGCCCTGTCACTCAATGTCATGACTTAACATGTCTGCTTCTGTTACAATGCTTTTGCTAAGTATTTTTTATTTCTTAATTTAAATGCAAAATAGATTCTTTGTGGAAGGATTAATTATTTGGAATGTTGATACAATGTTGGAGAATAGATTAATATCACTGTACAGGTATCAATTACGTAACAGTGCTAACTTTTAAATTCATGTAGTGTGTCTGAAGGAAAAACTTAAGTTATTTCTGAAAGCACTTTACCGAGGAGATTCATACTAAGACTGGAGAAGAGATTTTTCTCAGAAGTATATCTAATTCTGTTGGGAACATTTGCATTCCCAAGACAAATCAGACCACCAGAAATTGCCAAATCTCATTTTATATTATCTTCACTCTGAAAACCACCCTGGTTTGAAATGGTTGTCTGCTGTTTAAAATGATGACATTCTGAATGATTCAGGAATAAAGAAAGGGAGGTGGAAGGGGAAGACAGAAGTCACTCGCGCATCCTGACATGGTGGAAATAAGATTATGCTAAATCTCTGCAGGCTTAGAAGAATGGGGGGGGGGTTATGTTTGGGGAAAAAGGAAACAATAGAATGAAAAATACAGAGGATCCTTTAAAACTTTCCGGGTATTTTTTCCAGTACCTACTGGAAAAAGATTGTATATGAAACAGGAGGAAATGTAAAGGATTAGTTAAAAAAAAAAAAAACCAACAAAACAAAACAGAAGTTCAAAACCAGTATTTTGAACATTGTTCAATATTGAATTTAGCTTTAAAATAAAACATGCCTTTCCCTTTTTGCTATCTTGTTCTATGAATATAGTTCCAAATGAGAATTTCTGAATATCTTTCAAATGGTCATTGGCTATTTACATTTAGAAATGGTGTTCAGTTGTGACATATATGTATATGTAAGGATTTTGTGCAATTAAATGTGTTTCAGTGGTGATGTGTCATGGTGTTCTGTGCTTGAATATTTGGTGGTGCTACATTTGAGTAAAAACGAGTATCTCTGAAAGTGCAATCTTAAGATTTTCAATCTTCTGATTTGGAATCAGAAGTTCCTTCAGTAACAACTCTGATACTGCACTTGAATATGAAGTTTGTGGGTAGAAGAAATAGTGTAAGGAGACTCAAAGATTACTTAAAATGCATAAACAAGTATTTCAAAATAGTAACTGTTATGCTGTAATTGCATTACAGATACTTCAAAAAGTTAGCTGTCTGTAGCCTCATTTTGTGTGGGAAGTTTAAATGTAAATATACTTGAAATTGTACAAGAGAGAGGTTTCTCCCTTATGTTGAATAAAACAATATTCTTTCTTTCCAGAGGCGAAACATCCCAGTAAAACCACTGGATGAAGTTAAAGTAAGTTATGCTGATACTCAGTCTGGTTTGTTTTGGTTTGGGCTTTTTATTGGAAAAAGTATCTTGGCATTTGAAGTAGAGAAAGTGATGTTCTCTTTGTTTCCAACAGTCAAATTCCAAATATTATTTAATGTGCATAGGTTCTGTATAATACTGCAGAAAAAGATTGGTAGTGGAGTATGTGATGAAGAAGGGACTGTTAGGTTAGTCCTAAAGAGGATGTCCTCTTTAGCTCTAAATTGCTTACATGAATGTATATGGTCACCCATTAGAGAAGAACTAGTCATTTTTCTTGGGTTTTTTAAAGGTTTTAGGCAAACATCACAAAATAGTGAGTGTTCCATGGTAGCCTGGGATCTAATAATGGTGAATCAGTAAGTTACACAAACTAAGAGTATTCTTAGGAAATGCAAGTATAAGCTATGAAAGACTAAGATCTAAAATATGATTTGTTTCTCTAGGTTCTGCCAGTTCTCATAAAAGAAGAACACAAGTTACGTAATACCTGTCCAGATTCTTCCAAACAGATTATGGTAAAGTGGTTTACGTGTTTAAAAAAAAAAAAAGGAAGAAGTATTGAGACATTCTTTTTGTCTAGAATAAGCTTTCAGTACTTAAAATGCATTCTCTGACACTCAGTCTATTTTAGTTAGTGGCTTTGTGGCTTTGTCCTATTGTTCTGTGTTCTCTAGTCTAATTCAGCATGCATAACAATCTCAGAGGCAGAAAGACCAATTAGTAATCTGAAAGATACTTAATTTGCTGATCAATATTTGAGGTTCAACCTGCTATAAAATTTTTTTAAACCTCAGTTTTACCGCATCCATTGAAAATGTGTGTTAGAAAGTAGTGGTAAATAATATGCATATCTTATGCTTTCACAGCTACTAATCAATCTTTTTTTAAGTGGTTTTATCTTGCAAATTATTTGTGACAACAGAAAATTTGTGCTGTATTCCATGGCAGTTCACATAAAAATTATATGGATTACATTATAATGACTAATAAAATTTATAGTTTTATAAATATTCCTTAATTTTTGTGGAAAGGTTTGTATTTCTCTACAAGGTGACTGGTTAATTCATGGAAGTGCTAAATTTCATTTTCATATTTCTAAAAATTAATACCTGTTCCTATATTTACCAGCATGTTTTAGTCTTCCTGCTAGAATGGAAAACCTCAGAGAATTTTGTTTAGAATGTGTTTTGAAGCGTAACAACTTTTACTATGATTACGTAGCAGTATTGCAACAAGTATGGAAAAAAAATGCAATTTTTGTTGTAGTGCAGGCTGTATTTCATTATCCAAGTGAATTGAAAGAGACGCTTGAGAGACCAGCACCAGCTGATGCTGTGTATAGGGAGGCCCACCTTACTGGTTTTGTTAGTCTCATACTAAAAATTTCAATAAATCCAGTGTTGCATTGAGAAGGTGAGGGAAAAGAGGATCTAGAAGTTTCTCATGGTGATACTGATAATGCTTCCCTCTGCCAGGGTTTTGCCATGGGACAGGAATGAGTTGAGCAGGTAATTGAGTTCCAGAGGATTTGGTAATGTTGGTTTCAACAGTCCTGGATGTTGAGATGAAAGATATTTAGACTACTGTACAGATCCCTTGCCATTCATATGACTGGTCTGTCCTGAAACCATCTGGGAGCTGCTTGTGAGTTGCAAGTTAGCCAAGATCGTTATGGATGCTCCAGTCTCAAGTGTTGTGGTGCACATTTTTGAGAGTATGGATTCATGCATGTACCTTAAACATTAAAAAGTTACTATGACAGCTTATCACTATTGCTAGTCTTCCTGTTTCTTGTATTCTAATAGGTTGGAGAATCTGCTGGAGACAGTAACAGTTCTGACTTGGACTTTCTCTCTATGAAACCATACTCAGATGTCTCTCTTGACATTTCTATGTTAAGTTCATTAGGTAAGTAATTAAATATACAGGCCATCAATTACAGTTTTGTTGTACTATTTAGGCAAAACAACAGCTACATTTGCTAAGCATAAAAATGTGTTTAGAAAATTGAAGTAAGTCTGCATTTGACATATACATTAAAGTCTATAGGTAATAGAGGTAGACATAGGTAAAACGCTGGTACAAGGTAAATGAAACATTCACCTGTTTCTCCTTTGAGACATCTGTGTTCGAGCCAAGCTACCTTTTTTGTATCACTGAAGAAATAAAAGTATTTGTACCTCACAATTTTGATAGTTCTGCTCGGTTTTATGTGTTCATAGTAACATAAATTTTAAGAATCAGTGTGTAGCTTTGGTTCAGAAATGTTACTGCTTCATATGCTGTTTTTTGAAATAGCTTGGGCAGTAGGTAAGTATGTGGAGCTCAATCATATCACTTACCACTTGGAATGTCCCAAAAGAAAAATCAGAAGAAATTTCAGGCGTTAGGAAGGCTTTAGCTTCACTGTTGCATGGAAGTGTTAGGATTTTGTTTCAAATACACATCTTTAAGACATATCCTTGTTTAAATACTATATGAAGCAATGTTCCTGTTTCTGCAGTTAGCCAAGCTGGCCAAATGTCTTCAAAAAAGCCATAACAAAATAATAGCACCATTCATGATTTAAGATACTTTTAATTCAGAATGTGAAAGATGCCAAACTGTACTAGGAGTCAGTTCAGTTTCAGCCATTTCTCGTGGTGCTTTCCTTGAGCCTCCGAATGCTTTCCAGCATGTATTTCTTGAAACTGAAAACAGATCTGCAGCTGTTGCCTTTTAGAAGTGTGAAGGAAAATGCAGGATTGAGGTTGTTTGTGAAATGTTTTTATTTTAGAATTTTTTTTTTTATAGTGACTTGATAATTCGAGTCAGTCTGCATGTGCTAATTATGGGTTTTGGTTGGTAACTGTTGGCCATTAGGGAAAGTGAAGAAGGAGCTTGATCATGACGATAACCATTTACATCTGGATGAAACAACTAAGCTGCTGCAGGACCTTCATGAGGCTCAGGCTGACAGAGTGGGATCCCGGCCATCATCAAATTTGAGTTCCCTCTCCAATACCTCTGAAAGAGACCAACATCATCTTGGTAAAGTTACCTTTGTCACAGAAGTTGCAGTACTACTGCTGTAATTGAAACTTATTAAAATTCATACTTTAATTTACATAAATCTTTGTATGAAACTACTCTGATAAAATAGTGTGTTAACTACAGAATTATGTTTTCATTTTTAAATATGTTTGGCAAAGGCAACTAAGAAGATATGCTTTTGACCTGTGGAGTTAAGGACACTAACTGTAGTTACTTATTTTTTTATTAGACACGATTGAGGTGATTGTGATGTAAATTGGTACTGACCAGCAAATCCCTATATGCGCTTGCATTTTATGCTCTTAGAAATACTAAGAAGTATTAATTTTTCTTTGACATGGTTGTATGCAGCAAGGAACAGGTGGGATTCTACAACAGCCTTCCTTCCACTGTCAATACTAAAGTTCAATGATAAAACAGGATGGTAGGTTAACTTCACAATTTGTTGCCATCTTTGTGAAGGTAGGACATGATGGTGGGATGATACTCAGTGACATTTTGTATAATTTTTTAGCTCAGATTAGTAAAATAATGACTGCTTTTTTCTGAGAAGGTCTAAATTAGTAAAATAATGACTGCTTTTTTCTGAAAAGGTCTAAATTAGTGAAGAATCTTGTAATTTCTTTTTCAAAATCTCCTCTTTAAATACCATTTAGATGTCTGTCTTGCTTTAAAAGTCTGAAAGGAACATGTGAAATAACCGTGGTGTTTATATGCATAAATGCCTGTCCATTATTTTTCTGTACTTCTAAAAGTTTTTCTTTTATTTCACATATTCTACAGGAAGCCCCTCTCATCTGAGTGTTGGAGAGCAGCAAGACATGGTTCATGATCCCTATGAATTTCTTCAGTCTCCAGAAACCTCAAATGCCACTACTAACTAATCTGACATGTACTATATGTATTTTGTATTTTAATTGTATTATGTTTTTATAAAGTTTTTGTCCATGGCAGAAACCTCAATTTTGTTCCTCTTTTCTATGAGGATTCCTGTATAATATTATCGTATATGCTGGATTAGACAAAACAAAGCGAACTACGTAGTACTTAATGTTGTTAGCAATGTACCAAGACCTGCTTTTGGTTTGTTTGTTGAGGGAGATTGTTGTGTAGTAGTGTGTGTGTCTTAACTGAAAATCAGCAAATAATGTGTTAGAAAAATTTGTGTTTCATAGAAATTAGAAAGTGATTATTTTCCCAGTATAATGGCAGCAGTCATTAAATGCTTCTAGTAAAATGATCTACCAGTTCTGTTCAGGTTCTAACTTGAACATCTTCAAGGAGGACTATTTTATTCCAGCAGTGACAGAGCTGCATGAATTGTGATCATTATTTTATTTCCCATCTCCTATTGCTAATGATCGGTTGTTTCTGTTTCCACGTATTTAAATCTTTTTTTAATCACTCTAGAGGAGAGTAACAGTGCTTGATAGTTGCATTAAAATACTCACTACAAGAATTCTACCCTGGATCTAAAGCAAAAGATGGATGTTTTTGTGGTCCCTTGTGTCTTGAAACACAATATAATACTTACATTTTCTAATTAGATCTGTATATTGGCTGGAAAAAAAAATCTGGGTGAGGCGTGCTTTTCAGTAATTTTAACAACACTTTTATAATTCAGTATTGATGAAACTGGGGGATTTTGTATTTGTAACATTGATACATGCAAGCTGGATGAATTTATGAATTTACAATATTTTGTAAATATTAATAAAAATACAAAGCCACTTTTGATTTTTTGCAAGTATCTTGTTCTTCCCAGGAGAAAATTCATTTCCTTGTCTTTACCAAATCTGGGATTGTAGGAGGTCTTGGTCTGAATTTTTGTGCTGCCTCAAGAAATAAATTTCATCATGACACATATAGTTGTAAACAAAATTAACTGAATTTCTAGGAACCAACAAGGAAGTCTGTCAGGTAACTGATATCAAAGTCTTGATAAAGGCTAAATAGGAAGATCTCAAACTAGTTATTTGTGGTCTAGACTGTTTCCCTCCCCTTTTGAGATGCTTCTTCCCAGCTCCTTCCCCACCCCACTTAACTGTATGTGTTTTGTGTTTAGCTGTTACATGTTATTTTATGTTCAATCAGCTGCGACTCTGGTGGCTGCCTTTTCTCCTCTATATGCTAGTTGACTGCTCTTTCTATTGCAACAAGTCATTTGTGGGATTTCCACCTGAACTGGATCATAAACTTTGGGGCTTCAAACATTCTTCTTTGCTTTCCCCCTAGTCAGAAAGTTTCACAATCGAAGGAGCAATGGTGCCCACCTAAAGGCTGGAAGTAAAGAGTAAGGATCAGGAGACAGGAAGTAGCTCTCAAAATCATCATTGCCTGGCAAAGACAGTGATAGCAAAGCCTTTATGAGTTATCTTGATTGCAAAGGATTTAATACCTATTCTCTAGGAACAAATCTCTGTGGTATATTCCTCTATGCCAGTACATCATTCTTGTGTTGTGCCTTAATACTGAGCGTAAACACAGATTTTTGTAAGATAGTTTGATAAATCAGGTAAGTATCTTACCTGCGCCAGCCACCTTTGATGAAAGTATGTTGGGTTTGCAATTCATCCTGAGGTGATAAGTTTTGGTCATGTATAAACTTTGCTGGCTAATTGTGCTGTTTATCCGTTACAGGTTTAAAGGTTGGAGTGTATTTTTAACCATAAGTCTGCAAACACTTTGATTATTTTTTATTTATTTATTTACATGTAGAATACGCTGGTCTAGAAAAGTTGGGATGGCACAGCAG